GTACACACCCAAAGGATGGGAACCGAGACGGATCGGAGAGGGAATAGAAATGTCTATACCAGCAAATCATGAATGGAGAGGGACCACGTGTGACTGGGTAGGGTATGAAATTGTGCCCAACCTATCGTACCTATGGATAGAACGTGTTTGGAACTCGCTGAGGGAAGAGGAAGGATGGGAAGAGATTGCGGAAGGAAGGGTGGAATCGGTTGGGACGGTCGTTCTGTCCGAACAAGGTCGGCACCTGTTTTGCACAACGCTTGCAGCAGGACAAAACCCGATGTGGTTTTTAGAGGGTGTTGAGGCAAGGGCTCGACGGGCGGGCAAAAAATTTGATAACAAAGGTTGGGATGTGGTCAGTAGTAGAGTTGTGATGGGAGGATGGAAGGAATTTAGGTCCCCCTGCCAACGAGTCAAGACCTGGGTACCCGAGTTCGTAACAGATTGGTTTGGGGGTTTCGACCATGTTGAGGAAGTAGCCAGCACTATGGGGCGGGTGCACGTGAATTGCGATTGGCTGACGAAAGAATTCTATAAAACGTCCCTAAAATTTGGGCCCTTCCATGGCGATAGAGCCTGGGAGGTTCTCATCATTTTGGACATCGAAAGGAATGACCGGATGAAAGTGGCCCCGGAAACCAGGAAGGCTATAATTCGTTGCGAGGTAACTGCCGCACCCTGCTATGTAGATGATGTGTTAAGGTTGTTAGAGGTATTGTGGTTCGACTGGGAGTGGAGAAAACCGCGGGCCAGGCAAGCATGGGAAAATTGCTAAGATAAGGGAATGGGATGTCTGGCCATTGTAGGGTTCGGTGCGGATTGTGAGCTAGAAGACCGAGGACGAACCCGCAATGGCACGAAGAAGGACGTTTCTTAAAGATCGCCCCCTAGGCATAAAGCCACCCAGGGAAGTAGAGGGTGGAGTAGAAGTTAGTCTGCCGACCGCAAATGAGGGGTGGCACCCGGTGGTGGACTGGGTCGGGGTTGAACTTATGGAAAATATGGTTTACTTGGTAACGAGGGTCGAATGGCGAGCGGACGGAAATGGGGAGTGGAACCCGGACCCACGAGGGCATGTGCGTGCGGAAGGGCGATTGTATGTGTCGGAGGGAGGATGGCGAGAGTTTCGGAGTCCGGTTGGCATTGCGGGAGGATCCAATAAGTATGTCCGAAGGGGCATGGCAGTTAGTGTGGCAGGCGGGATTCGAATTCGCGGACCCGGGAGTTGATGATGTAACGGCAAACCTTAGGGTAGCCATGGTCGGGAGCTTTGAATTGCCCTGAGAAAACGTTCGGATGAGATTGCCGCCATTTTTGCTAGAGAGGCTAGGCGGGGTGGAGCTTGTCAAGAGGGTTGTGGCCTACCTCGCCAACCTGCCGTTTGAGGACGCGTTGGTTGACCAAGAGTATTATCGGGCCTTTCTAGAGATGGGGTCATTCGGCGGCGAACAGAGGTATGAGGTGCTGCGGATCCTGCGCGCTGTGTTTACCACCAGGCCAAGAGCTCCGGTTGTTAGCAATGAAGTCCTATGGGGCGTTGTTCGACGAGAAATAAGCCGGGGAATGACTTACGTAGATGACCTGTACCGCCTGTATGAGACAATGAAAGTAGAGACAGACCGGTAGGAGAGGCAATAAAAAAAGGAAGGAGTAGAGAGGAAAAGAAGTATTGAGGTTAAGAACCGGGGAGTTGCCCGGGTGAGGCCGAAGAATGGATGGAATAAGCAAAATCCACTTGCTGTTTAAACTGTGCAGGGAACCGCTAATCAACAATGGCGATGAGACGGGCACGAATGTCGCGACGGCCCACGCACCCTCGGCCACCCACGGAAAGTGGAGGTGGATGGGAGGTATCGCTCCCGGCAAGCTACATGGTCCGAGGAATTCACACCGAATGGAGAGTTGTGACCTTGGGAGGGGACCAGGCGTTCATGATGGTAGAATGTTTGTGGGATGGTATGAGGATTAACAGGGGACCAGAGGACGATCTGTATACTGACCTCATGGTGACTGAAACCGTATACCTACCAGAACTTGGATGACACATGTTAGGAACGGAACTAGCGCTAGGGCATGGGTTGTAACCAATCTTTCAAAGGGCTACTAAGGTACTGAACCGAGTAGGCCAGGGAGTGCGAGGGAGAAGGAATGTGGGACTGAGAACCCGGGTGGAGGTAGGAGGTTGGCGATAATTTAAGGCCCTAATGACAGGGCTGAGGTGTCGAGTCCCCCACTTCATGATGGACCTGGTAATTTGGCAGCCTCAAGAGGGCCAGGGACCTCGTGGATTCGACCCTGGTCTGGATCCACCACTTCCGGCCACAGACAACAGGGATGTTTTACAATGTGTCGGTCTGGCATGGGCCGTTCTGGGGAAGTCAGGCCTGGGAATTACTTGACCTTATTGAGATTTTGATATTCGGGTTGTATGGCTTGGCGTTTGAGGAATACGAACCAATAATCGTTAGGGAAATAAAGATGGGAGAAAACTACCTTGCCAGGGTGGCTGACCTGTTCGAAGAACTAGATGAGCAAGACAGACCTGGGGGACCGGCGTGAGAAAGGAAAAGTATCGGGGAAAAAGTAAAAGGTGGAAAACCGGAATGAGAAGCTAGCCGTCAGCAAGAGAGCAGTGGTCGGAGTTCAGTCCCACCTGAGATCGTGGCAGGAGGGAACTGGGAAGACCACCTACGCTGAAAAACACTGGGGCGTCCGGTTGTCAGGGAGTGAAAAGGGCTACCCCCGAGGGGAGAGCCCCTAGCCTCAGACACCGCCCTAAGGGACCGGGGCACAACAGTAACAAAACGCCAGACCTCGGCAGCAAGCCTTCCGACAGAAGACAGACAGAACGGCGCCCTGTAGGAAATCGTTGGGTGAGTCGTCCTGACAAAATAAGACGGGAAAGCATGGAAATAAGTAAGAAATGGAAATAAGTAAGAATAAGGGGACCTTAGGGCCCGGGAACTAGGGAAGCTATGAACAACCGGTCATTTCGCAAAAAAAATTTCCATGTGCAGGGTAGGTAAGGGGATGGCGTCGGAAGAAGAGGCTGAGGAACTGCGAAGCAAAGGAAGTCAGGGCACGAGTACGGGTACGGAACGAAGCGAAGCGTAAGTAAAGGATCGAGAGTCGGTGAAACCAGAGGGAACCAGGGAAGATGGGAAGGATCTTCGACAGGCGAAAGCTCTGGGAAAGTCGGGGGTAGCAAAAGAAGACCTCAGGAAAATAGGGAGGGAAGAGACAATGGAAGATCGAGTCCTCGAAACTCAAAAGGGACTACGCCCAAGAAAACGAAGATCTCGGACGCCCGCCGTAAGCTGGCAGAGATAGAAAAGCAGACCGCAGAATATAAAGCGAGGCTTATGGAGGAAATGATGGCTGGGAATGAAAGGGATTCCCTGGGAGAAAGGTCGCGAGAGGAACGAAGCGTCAGCCAGGGCCAAATCAGACACGGAGGGAAGGATAACAACCATAAGGGAACGCCCAGCAAGAAAGGGAAGGAAAAGGGGGATGCTCCGGCTCTGGAGGCAGAAAAGGCTACGACCCCGCCTGCTATGGACAGGGGGACTAGCCGCCTGCCCGCCACACCAAAAGTAGCAAAGGGTTGCGACAGACTTTGGAGTCTCAGAGAAAGAGTACTAGGATGGTTCGACCCTGAGGGTACGCCAAAGGCTGGGGAAAAGCAGGGGAACAGCAAGGAAGGAGAAGGGACCAGTCCGGCTGGTGAAGCAGGTAGCTCTGAGGGAGGTCTTAAGAAAATAGTAGCTACCCTCACCCGAGCTCTGAATAAGAATCAGGGATATCTGGCCGATGCCAAGAAGAAACTCACTTTTGATGGGGCGAACATTACGTAGTTCCTGATAGACTATGAGTTGGCAGCCTTGTTAAAATGGAGTGAGAAAAAAAAGATGACCATTTGAGGCAGCATGTGTCACCGAGTCTGGGTAGGGACATTATGACCAATGTTGCTACTAGTGGATCTTGGAAGGAAACCAGGAACGAGATGATGAGGAAGTACCTAAAGGCGGAGAAGATGGCAACAGAAGCCGAGTTGGCGGCAGTCCAAAGGAAGAACTATGCGACTTACAACGACTTCCTAAGGGCCTTTACTTTAATCGCGTTACGAATTCCCGGGGTAACAGACCGGATAATGAGTAAGTATTTTCTCAGGCAGTTCTCCGAATTCGACAAAGATAAGATTCTGTCAGCTTACCAGCAGACTAGCAAGTTCGAGTACACTAGAGATGTGGACTTCAGCACGGTAACAGACCTCGCAGAAAAGACAGTGGTGACCGATACGCTAGCCCTGCTTAAGGAAGGGGAGGTTATAGACTTGACTGGAAAGACAGGGGATAAGGTCAAGAAGGGGATAGAGAGCCTGCACGAACGAGTGCACGGGGTTGACAACAAGATGGAAAGAATGGAAAATGCGCTATTAGTAATGCAAGCGTAGGTGTCCCGACCCACCCTCCCGCCCCAAGAGGCCGTAGTTCCAGCAGCGGTGGCGAATCGGGGGTATGGTAGAAGGGATCCGTCCAATGAGCAATGTAGGTATTGCACAATGGTCGGATATTTCGTGCGGACTTGCCCAAGACTCAACCATGATATCATGAGACAGAGATGCAGCAGGTCCCTTAAGGGTGAGATTCTCGGACCCCAGGGAGAGCGAGTAAATTGGAATTCGCAAGGAGGAATGAGGCGTACCGTCATCGTCCTGAATAACTTGGATATAACCGCCGTAGAAGCAGAGTTGGTAGCCGATATTGTCTGGGACCAACCGAGGGGACGTGGACCACAGGCCAATTTTATCCTAGAGGGCAATGGGCATGATAGGGTAAACATCACCACCCGACGGGCCGGTGCGGAAAAGAAGTTTATTCGAGACACGGTAATGGAAGAGGTTGCTGGGACGGGCGCAGATCAGGAAGAAACTGAGACCGGGGAATAGGAGAAGGTCTATGGGAAGGCAAGGGAAGCGGAGCCGGTAGACAAGGTTACGGAGGCGAAAAAGAAGTTCAGGTATCAAATCCCGATCTTGACCTCGCCAGAGATTGACGACACCTTGAGTAAGCTGCTGGGTACCATGGTATCGGTATCCTTCCAGACCATGCTGCAAGCCAGCCCAAGGCTGCTTAAAGGACTCAGGCAGTTGCTAATGCGCAAGCGCATAGAGGTAGAGGAGGCCCCGGAACCACCGGAGCAGGAGACAGAAGAGGCAGAGGCACCCCAAGGCGTCTCCAACCTCCAAAGGATTCCTGGGGATCTGGAGGACCTGGAAAAGGCCTTTGCAGACATCCGCCTAAGCCTACCGGACCGARAAGGGGGTGAAGTCATGAGGGCGCCACCCGGGACGAAGCTTAGCTTCCATGCCTTACCCGTAGGAAAGCTGAAGGTCCAAATTGGAACCCACCACACAGATGCATTAGTGGACGGCAGTGCGGAAACTACCCTCATACGACGGGATTTTATAACGATTATCGGTTGCACCGTAAACAAGGAAGTGATGGGGAGTATCCGGGGAGCTGGCGGGGAGATTAACTTTGCAGGGTACGTTATGAAATGCGCAGTCAGGGCGGCGATCAGGGAATCAATCTGGTCCTTCCAGCAGATGACCGTGATGGAAGAAATGGACCATGACATAATTCTCGGAAGACCGTGGTGCGCCAATCTAGAAATGATAGGTATGCAGCATGATGGCACATACATGGTAGATATAGAGGACCCCGTGACCAGCCGCGGGGAACTCCTCCGACTCCTTGGGACCGGAGGGGATGTGCCGAAAGGCAAGTTGGCAACTTGGTCGCCAACGTTCGAGGAGAGTGCACGAAAGGGGGCATTCGCACGAATGGAAAGTATGAGGGAAAGGGTAGAAATCATGATTGAGGAAGCCTTTAGCAAGAAGGAGTGGATCAAGATGGGTCTACCTATGAAGAAGAGGAGGCAAGAGGACGAGGCCCTGGAAGTTATGGTGGCAGAAAAAAAGTCGGAAGTCGAACTTGGAGTCAACCTGCCCAAACCAAAGGAAGGTCAGAACGAAACGCCGGAGGTGGTGCTTGAAATCCCATATTGTTACAACTCGTTAAGGCCATCAGGTACCACAAGGTGAGGGTGGACCTCGCAGCGCTTGCTAAATTTGAGGACGGGGTCCGAAAGGGCTACTGTCTGAACGGGAAGCTAGTCAACATCCAGCCCCGCGTCTTGGAGGTAGCAAGGCTGATTCTGACCCTTCATTTTTTAGGAGAATGATCCCCGAAGGCAGTGTGTGAAAGTACAAACCCGTAGGCAAGAAGACCAAGCCGGTCTCGATCCTAATAGAAACATCAAGGGAAGAGGCCATGGGGAAGGATGAAGAAGTTTTGCGGATAATAAGGGAAAGGTGAGCAACATAAAGGAATCGGATACCGGATGAGGTAGCAAAAACCATGAAAATAGGCGCAGATGAGTTCCGAACAGAGAACGAGACTCGGTTGATAAGAAGGGCGTGTCAGGAGTTTCATCTAGCCTTCGCTTTCAATGACCACCAGAAGAGTCGGTTGGATGCGAAACTAATTTCCCCCGTTAGGATCCATACGGTTGAGCATGAGTGCTGGAACGACAAAGAGTCTGCCTATGAGTTTGGAATAGCGGCAGAAGTCACTGAATTGCTTAGGGCTAAGATAGATTCGTTCGTAGCCTTACCCACCGCGTCCCCCTATGCGAATAAGTGGTTCGTTTTCCGGAAGCCAAACAAGACACTCAGATGGATTCAGGACTTGCAGAAGCTGAACGCAGTTACAATCTGGGATGCGGGGTCGCTCCCACAGGCCGATTTACTGGCAGAATCCCACGCGAGGCGAAGCATTTACTCCTTAGTAGATATGTACTCAGGATACGACCAACTGCCACTCGATGTGAGGGATAGACCATACACCGTCATGCACACACCGGTAAGGCAGTTGCAGATGCAAGTGACCCCATGGGTTTCACAAACGCGGTGGCGAAAGCACAAAGGAGGATGCTTGTCATTGCAGGGGAGATGTTCCCGGAGAAATGCGAGTCATATATAGACGATAACCCCCTAAAGGGCGTGCGAGACAAAGATGAGACGGAGGTCGAGCCGGGCGTACGGAAGTTTGTCTAGGATCACCTGCAGGATACGAGCCGGGCGTGCAAAAGTTTATCTTGGATCACCTACAAGATATCAAGGATCTACTCCAGCGGTTTTTGGTTTATAACATCACCGCAAGTGGACCAAAGAGCATTCTGGCCGTCCCGGAAGTAACCATCATGGGGTTTCGCTGTGGGGCCTATCGAAGGAAACCCGACCCGGCAAAAACAGATAAAATCTCTCAATGGCCGACGCCCCTGCGCACCATGACGGAAGTGCGAGCCTTCCTAAGGGTTGTCGGGTTCTGGAGGATCTTTATCAAGGGATTCACAAAGATAGCTGAGCCTATCCGCGCGATGATTAGGGAAGGAGGCACTTTAGAATGGACCGAGGATAGGGAAGCGGTAACCCAGACCCTCAAAGACATTATGTCTTCCGATCAGGTTACCTTAGCAGCGCCCTGCTTTAATGACGAAGTAGGACGACCCTTCATCTTAGAAACAGATGGGGAACCATTGACAGTAGGAGGGGTATTGATACAAAAAAGCGAGAAGGGCAAGGAAAGACCGATCAGATTTTAGAGTAGGACCTTGAATTCGGCAGAGTGGCGGTACTCACAGTTCAAGAAAGAGGTCTTAGCTATCCTGCATTGTCTTAAGACCTTCCAAGCATACCTATTCGGGAGGGGATTTATCATGAGGATCGATCCGACGAACGTTGCTGGGGCACTAAAGAACTACAAACCTATAGACCCAACCGTCGGGACGTGGATAGGCTTCATATGGCAATTCGACTACAAGGTCGAGCGAATTGCGGGGCTTCGGAAGAGGGCGGATGGGTTGAGTAGGGTGTGTATCACGCCGGAAGGAATAGAGGACGCCGAGCCAATCGACGCCTTCCTAGAATACGGAGGAGGGACCCTGGTCGTGGATAACGAGATGGTAGGCGCCGCCCCTACAATGGACCAACTGCTGATTCAGACTCTAGAAAAGGGCAAGCCCGCCGTAGTTGCGGAACTCAGGGAGGGACCGGTCACCACGTTTAGACGCAGGGAGGAAAAGGATTCGTGGGGAGCAATGATGGGGCCGAAAGAAGAACTGATGGCAATGGCCGTTGAAGGGGGACGAGACGTTGTGATGACCCTAGCAGAGACATGGGCGCAGAGGGAGAGGCAGTACCAAGTGAATCAGACTCAGATGAAACAGGGTACCGACCGGAAGGAACGAGAATTTTTCCTCATACAGATGTACGAGGGCGTCTTCAGAGAAATCGGTCTGCTGCTCATAGGAAACAAGCAACCCTTGGAAATCAGCCCCAAGGCAAGGGAGGAAGCCGAAAAGTACGTCTTGAGGCACGGCCACCTCTTCAAGAAAGAAGAGGGAATGTTGCCTAAACACGTCATATGCGGAAGGTCCAGGCAATTAGATATAATCCAGGCAATGCACGGTGGGCTAGCCGGAGGGCACAGGTCGTCAAAAGGGACCCTTGCAAAAATCGCACCACTTTACTTCTGGCCAGGCATGGTAGGAATGGTGGCGACGTATTGCCAAACATGCTTGATATGCCAGGAGAGGAGTTCCTCTCGTGTCTTCGAGCCCCTTAGACCTACCCGGGTACTAGGACCGGGGCACTTGGTTCACCTCGACCTTGCGGTCATGCCTGTGTCGACGGATGGGTACAGGTATATCTTGGATGCAAGGGACAATCTCAATAGTTACGTGGAGGCAGTAGCTCTTAAGAGAAAGACAAGAAAGAGAGTGACCGATTGGATAGAGGACTTCTACCTAAGCCGATAATGGGACAAAATTTGTAAATCACGAAGTGCTAAGCAGGCTCAAGACGTTGTGGGTACCTATCACGATCATTGAACCATACCACCCTGAGGCCAATGCACCAGTAGAAAGGGGGCACCGAACTTTGAAAAACACAATCGCTAAGTTGGCGGCGGATGACCTGGGGAACTGGCCTCAATACCTTAAGCAGGCGGTCTTTTCTGAGAACATGACGCCGAAAAGGACGGCGGGATGCATTTCAGCATAACTCTGGTATGGGAGGGAGATCGATTTTCCGGTGGAAGCCCTGGTTCCCACCTGGAACAGGCTAGAGGAAAACCCGCGCATGTCTACGGAAGAACTAATTGTCGCACGTTGCCAACAAGTCGTGAGAAATGAGGAAGCCTTGGAGGATTTGGTCAGGCGAGTGATGAATAGTCGAATGAAGGACAAAGCAAGGTGGGATCAGGTGAAGAACATCCGGAAGGAGCCGCTCCAGGTGGGAGAGAAGGTACTAGTTAGGAACTCGACACTTGAAAGCACATGGTCTGGATAGTTGGGGAAAAGGTTATAAGGCTCCTACAGAGTCGCAAGGCGGGTGGGTCTGAACACGTTTGAACTTGAGGATTTTGATGGCACTGGGATAAAAGGGTCATTTTCGGGACAGAGACTGGTCAGGTTTTTGAGCAGGGACCCGGTGGAGCAATGGTTACAGGAGGCTCATAATACGGAAACAAGGGAATTGACAACTTGAAAGGCAGGCAATTGACTACTATTCTATACCACCTCCCTGTGGAAGTAATCACGACTGCAAGGGTCGTTCGTTTTGTGTTTTCTTTCCTGTGGAACATGGGGTGACTGCCTGGGCTGGGTGTGAATGAGGTATGAAGTCTGGGACAATGTACCATAGTTTTTTGTGGGGCAATTTTGGGGGATGCCCTGCATAGGGTGCCTATGTGACTGGGATAATGTACCAAGGTTCTAGGGAGGGGATAATGGGACTACCGATTACATAGGGGCAACCAAGGGTTTTGGGCACACCTGCAAATCTGCAAATGGGAGTGGGAAGAGAATGCATGTATATGAGGGATGTGGTGACTGTTATGGATGGATAGGATCAGGCAAGAAGAGAGCAACAAGAAAAAACAAAATGGAGTTTGGAAACGAAAATGACTGCAACGCCATCAACAGGCCTAACGAGCAGCAGCCAACAAGACAGGCTGGAGAATCAAGCTCCAGAAAAAGGAAATTATATGTGGGATTTGACCACGATCTGGTCATAAACAGAGGGGGGGAAAAACAAGGGACCCGGGGGCCGTCACCTCCTAGAGAAGGGAAGCCAATAGTTCTCTTTTCAGACAACGATGATAGTGAAGAACAGGTTGGGAACCCGGGGAAGAGACAGAAGGTGGAAGAGGAAGAGTTCATCGAGGTCATAGACCTCAGCAGCGAGGAGGAAGAAGATGAAGTTACAACACCCACAAGAGAAGTACGAGGAAGAGAGGAGGATCCGGGGAAAGAAAATGACAAGTGGGTAAGAGAGTTTTGGGCCGACTTTCAGCGACTGGTTTGATCAATGGGCCAGTATCTTGCGATACCAGTGGGCAATGAAGGGGAAGGAAAAGTTGAGCAGGGGAGAGGACATATCCCAATAACCTTCTTCAAAGAGGAGATACTCCTTCAGTTGCAAAGGATAAAGAGACAAATGCAGCAAGAGATTGAGGATCGTGCAAGAGAGGTTCGACGCAGGGCAACGGGGCAGTAAAGGGATAGTAGGCATAGCGGGGATAACTAGAAGTTGGGGAAGGCTAATACCTGAGTAGGCAGAACTGCCATTTTTGAATTTTGCATTTGAACTTTCTGAGAATGGACTACAATTGGACAACTTTCTGTTTAGAATAATCAAAGATTGGGTAACTAGTGCTACTTTCCATAAGTAGTTGCTTCTTCAGAAGGACATGTGGGTCGATGAGCTTGGGACTGAGACTAGGAAGCACTAGGTTTGAAAGTGAAGGGAAAAACAGAGCGGCCCAGACGAGACAAGTCTGTAATGTTATTTCTACATGCGAACTTTGTCTCCATTTTTTGAAAAAACTGCGACATAACGGCTCCTTGGACTGGGGAAGTTAGCAGATGATGGGTAGCCAGTGCTACTTTGTACAAGTACTCGCTCCTTTGGAAAACATGGACATTTTTGGTAGTGAGAAGGGAACTGGGGATGATTGACTCTGTTTTGGGAGACGGGCGAGGGTATGTGAACTGTTGAAAGATTGGATTAAAATTTGGTGGCAAAGAGTCTTTCTTTTGAGAATTGTGTATCCATGGTTGAATGAGTCATCGCATGAGTCTTTGTGAGAGGTTAGGGGACCTATGGGTAAAGAGGCATGAAAAATCCTCTTCCCTAGGAGCCTAATCCAACCTATCTTGGACAAGTCCAGAGTAATGAAAGGGCATGAGAGGCCAGAGAAAGGAAATATGGATTGGGCAAGTATTCTCTGCAATGGTTGAACGGCCGAGCGGGCTAGTGCTGCTTGGGGCCGTGAGCCTCAAATTGAGCACTAGATGCTAAGTCGGGTGTATGGGTGGACATGAGAATGATGATGGGCACTAGGCAAAAGGGCGAAAGCATGCGTAAAAACTCGAGAGGATGACCACCTTCTAACCCCTGAGACGAGAATAGGGTCCGTGTCCTCGAGGCTCACCCCCTCGGGCGCTAACATTGCAATGGATAAGGATGACCCTAACCAGGCTGTCCAATTGAAATGGACAAGGATGACCCAACCCAGGCTGTCCAATTGAAATGGATAAGGATGACCCTAACCAGGCTGTCCGATTGCAATGGATAAGAATGACCCTAACCAGGCTGTTCGACTTGGAATTGGAAAGAACAACCCTAACCAGGTTGTTCGGAATGGCCCCTGACAAGGGTCATTCTTTGGAATTGGCACTGGGGTCCCCTTGCATGGTTGCTTGAAATGCATGGAACTGAAAAGAGCAGAGCTTTGGAAAAAACATTGGAAAGAGTTGAGCTTTGGAAAAGACATTGGAAAGGGCTGAGCTTTGGAAAAGACATTGGGATGAGCTGAGCTTTGAATGAGATATTGAGCTGAACCTTGAAAAAGATATTGGACTCAGCCTTGGAAAAAATATTGGATTCAGCCTTGGAAAATATATTGGATTCAGCCTTGAAAAAGATATTGGCCTCAACCTTGGAATGAGATTGAGCATTGGAATTGGATTGAGCCTTGGAATGAGATTGAGCATTGGAATTGGATTGAGCATTGGAATGAGACTGAGCATTGGAATGAGACTGAGCATTGGAATGAGATTGAGTATTGGAATTGGATTGAGTATTGAAAATTGCATTGCATAAACAGGGGACCCTAGGCAATTTGGAAGAAAAGTCGTCGGCCGACCATGGAAATAGCATTGAAATAATTTTTTTTTTTTTTTTCTAGTCTTTGGCCTCAACAAGAGGGGGATACCGGTGCATGCACCGCGACCTCAATACCTCTATCCCTTTAAGGGAAAAAGTCTCAACGTGATCTGTTTCTCTTTTAAGAGGATGAGGGTTAAGGGACCAAGGCACCTTCCACTTGGATCGGTTTCGGCCGTTCGGAACCACCTCCGACAATGAGCTCTAGTCGGGAATTCAAATTGCACCTCCTGTTGAATACCTAAACGTCAAAGGGCGAGAGAGTCAAATGGGCGAGAGAGTCATTCTCATCTAGTCTATTTTGCTACTCTCCAACCACACGCCATGTCATAGAGGGGTGCTATGGCCGTTTGGGTCGGACCTCGGCTGCCCTCGCTAAGTTGGGTGGCATTGTCCGAGGGGACAGGTTGGCGTGGTACCGGGTGGAGGCCGCCACCACCACGGGGCATTGACACTGCCCTGTCTGAACATTACAACCGTTTCGGAACTAATTGCGAGGTCTTCGTAACTGCACTCGCGAACTAATTGAGAGCCCCAACTCTCTTGAAAGGAAGAGACCGGATCCATGAAATTACCACTCGGGAGGAACGCTTTTATGACTAGACGAGGCCCTGGAAGGCTTGAATTGGACCGGTCTGCCAGACGCGAGGAGGAACCTCAATATTGGTGTTCGCCATGTAAGAAAAGAAATGTCGGACCTAGTAGGAGGATGAGGCGTCGTTCACTAGGGAGGAACTGATTACTCCTTTTGTGAAGCGGACGGGCTTGTGTCCTTGACTGCGGTTGGTTGGCCAAAGGTTTGTGTACCTCCGAGTGAGAACCAGTCGCGTGATGGGGACATCTCGTTTTGAGTGGAGGGAAGGTGTGTCATCTACCAACGAAAACTCATGCAAAAGAATTGTGTAATTGGCTTTGCGTGGGCTTGAGAAAAGGGGTCCTGTGCTTGCACTGGTGGTGCTAATATTTTTGGCCGTCAAGATCTCCGATCTTGACGGTGCAACTTGCTTTATTTTTTTGCATCACATACCGAGCCACCATTTTTCCTTGGAACTTCACAAGTCCCCGACATTAGTCCCCGACACTAGTCCCGTCGGTACTTGTCCCACTGGTACCGCATTTTCTGCCTAGCCTCATGCGGTCCCCGGCACCGGTCCCATAGGTGCCGCATCTTTGCTTGGCCCCATGCAGTCCCCGACACTTTGTCCCGTCGGTACCGTATTTTCTCTTGGTCTAATGTGGTCCCCGACACTTTATCCCGCCGGTACCGTATTTCCTCTCGATCTCACACGGTCCCCGACACTTTGTCCTGCCGGTACCACATCTTTTTTTGGTCTCACTCGGTCCCCGACACTTTGTCCTGCCGGTACCACATCTTTTCCTGGTCTCACGCGGTCCCCGACACTTTATCCCGCCGGTACCACGTCTTTTCTACTACTTTTTTTGGCGGTCCTTCTCCGTTTCGGGGGAAGGTTCGCCTTTGCCACTCTCTTGCGTGCCTCCGCCGCTCCCCGTTCCGTCAATTTTATTCTTAGTTCATTGGTCCCGACGACTTTGGGCAGTTTCTAGGTTCCGAGCGCCTATGCCTAAACCTTGATCCTCCCATCCTTCTTGCCTCCCGTTTTCTCTGTCGCGCACAAATTAGCCATATACAGTCTCTCGAGTGACGGGAAGTCATTCGGGACTCACCAGTCTCGACACATTCCCCTCACTCATTCGCGATGTCCTCATCGCGCACCAATCCATAGTTAGTAGGGGCTTGATGAAGGGAGAGAGGGGGCGTGGTAAGACAGGTAGTTAGCTTGCCAGGGTTCGTTTTGTTCTTCTCCCGTTTCTTTCTCAGGGATTTCTTTTTGGGTTTCCACCCTTGGGGCGGAGGAGGGTATGGGGGAGTCAAAGGTTATTCTTCAGGCCTCTCTTTTCTTCCTACAACTTAAACCAGGTTGCTCATTTCCATCATAACTCTGCGTTTTTACCTTTCCCCTCAATCGAGACACGAACTTCCTCTTCAGTCAACTCTGCATGCCCAGCAAGGTAGCCCATAATTTTTTTGACTTCAGTAACATGAGGCAGACGATGCTCTCCTTGCTTTATGTACTTAACGACTGACATGCTGACTTTATTCCCAGGATGACAATTTGCTGCCACAACACAATTGGTTTTCTCATTATATACCTTGGCATTGTTGAGAACAAATTGTAGGCAAGTTTTCGGATGTGACTCAATATT